GAAAAGTTTTTGGATGTGCATAGGGATTTGATTCGTAGAAGGTCCCATTCATCTATTTTATCTTCTCCTGGTTGTTCTCAATGGAGAGAGGTTAAAGGCATTCCCTTTAAGAACAGGAACTAGGCAAGGATACTCACTCTCACTTCTGTTATTCAATATTATATTGGAAGTCTTAGCGAGAGCAATAAGAAAATAAGGAAAGAAGAGGTATCCAAATTGGCAAGCAGGAGGTAAAATTATCTCTCTATGCAGATGATATGATAGTATACTTAGAAAACCCTAAAGACTCAGCAAGAAAACTATTGGACATAGTTGACCAATTCAGAAAAGTAGCAGGATACAAAATCAACATACAAAAATCAGTTGGATTTCTCACCGCCTAATTCCCACCGAGTTACGTCAGGAGGCACTAGCTTTACAGGGATCCCTGGAATTTGATGACGCTGGCGGTGAAGGTGTGACCAGCCACGTGGATGATGAGTATCGCTGGGCAGGCGTTGAAGATCCCAAGATCATGATCACCACCTCCAGAGACCCTAGTTCTCGCCTCAAGATGTTTGCAAAGGAACTGAAGCTCGTGTTCCCAGGTGCACAGCGTATGAACCGAGGCCGGCATGAGGTGGGTGCCCTGGTGCAAGTCTGCAAAGCCAATGGAGTCACTGACCTGCTAGTTGTTCATGAGCACCGGGGCACACCTGTGTGTTTTATTGTCAGCCATCTGCCCTTTGGCCCCACTGCATACTTCACACTTTGCAATGTCGTCATGCGACATGATATCCCTGACCTGGGCACCATGTCGGAAGCCAAGCCTCACCTCATCATGCATGGCTTTTCCTCCCGTCTGGGCAAGCGGGTCTCCGACATCCTTCGATACCTATTCCCTGTGCCCAAAGATGACAGCCACAGAGTCATTACCTTTGCCAATCAGGATGACTACATCTCTTTCCGGCACCATGTCTACAAGAAGGTGGACCACCGCAACGTGGAGCTCACTGAAGTTGGACCTCGCTTTGAGCTCAAGCTGTACATGATCCGCCTGGGTACACTGGAACAGGAGGCCACAGCCGATGTTGAGTGGCGTTGGCACCCTTATACGAACACTGCACGTAAGAGGGTCTTCTTAAGTACCGAGTGAGTCCTGAACCCTGATCTTTGGTCAGGAAATTATACTCGGAACCCAAAAGGTGGCATTGTCAAAGACCCTTGAAGATGAAGATACAGATTCTGTAGGAGAAGTCAAATTCTCTTTTGTCATGTTAAAAAAAAATAAATTTCAGAAAATAAAAAAATATGAAATTCTCCCCCCCAAAAAATAGTATCTACTTGCAAATGTTTTTGATCACCTCAGATAGCCACTTTTACACCGATTAAGCAGCAATTTCTCATTCTCACGCTCCATTCCAATCTCTGTTGCTGTTCTCGTTGATATTGTTGTTGTCCTAGTCCTCTGAATTAGAACAAATAGCTAACCCTCTGGCCAGTTTTTAGAGGCAGTAAATCACATTAGAAGACAATGCCCTTCTTTCTCCCACTGAGCATCTAGCAAGTTCAAACCATTTGCCTTTAGCAATGTAACCTCTTACCAGTAAGCAACTCTAGCCCTAGTCCCCGAAACCACTCTACATTTTTATTCTATGCAATTGCTTGCTATGGACATTTCGTTAAAGGGGAATAAAATAGTCTTTTTTAATTAAAAAAAAAAATCAGTTGGATTTCTCTACAGTGACGAAGAAAATACAGAGCCTGAACTAAGAAAAACAATACCCTTCACAATAGCGAATCACAAGATTGAATAGTTGGGAGTAAATCTAACCAGAAGCACAAAGGATCTATTCAAAGAAAATTACAAAACATTACTACAAGAAACAGAGACCTGGAGAAGTGGGAAAATATCCCTTGCTCATGGATAGGAAGACTCAATATTGTGAAAATGGCAATACTATCAAAGGCAATTTACACGTTCAATGCAATCCAAATAAAAATACCAATTCCATTCTTCAAGGAGATGGAAAAGGTAATCTCCAGTTTCATTTGGAATGGAAAGAAGCCCCGAATAAGCAAAGCACTCCTTAAAAATAGAAAAAAGGTAGGAGGCATCTCACTCCCTGATTTCAAATCCTACGGCACTGCCATGGTGTTTAAGACAGCATGGCACTGGTACAATGACAGACACATAGATCAATGGAATAGAATTGAGAACCCAGAAATCAGCCCATCTACATATGGTCAACTGATTTTTGACAAGGAAATGAAATCAGTTAAGTGGGAAAACGACAGCCTTTTTAATAAATGGTGCTGGCAAGATTGGAAAAATATCTGCAGAAGACTCAAGCAAGATTCACACCTCACTCCATATACAAAAACCAACTTAAGGTGGATCATGGATCTAGGACTAAAACCAAGGACTATAAAATTCATTAAAGAAAAGCTTGGAAGAACTCTAGTAGTCCTAATCCACAACATAAAGTCTTCCAAGTAACATGTTCTAATTCTTAATGGATGTTTATAGTTGTTTCTCCTCATTTTTTAAAGCTTCCACTTTAGGGGTCCTACCTCTAATATTATGTCTAATAGTGTTCCTCTGAATTGTTTATAGGGTTTTTAAAAACCCATTATCTCAGAAATCGATGGCTAATCCTTCTTCTTAGTCTGTCTTAGTCTGAAAGCTCTGCTGAAACCTGTACACCATGGGTGATCTTCTGGTATAAATATTGGTGGCATCCATTCCAGCATCACAGCAGCCAGCAATCTACCTCAGTACAGTAACTGACAGACACATAATATACTCACAAGAGACAGTAATCTATGAGCAAGTATATACATGTACAGATGATAAATGGCAGCATTATGCATATCCTTCCATCCCAACTTTGCATCTCTCTCCCTCATCAATATAGCAAACTGGAAAGTATATGCTGCACCCCTAATACTAGCACAGCCTTGTGAGCCTACTGCCTTCTCCCACAGAGGATGGCCCAGGCTCCAGGCATAGACACCCTTTGGGTGCTCTCTGGTAGAGCCTGGCATGGTGAAGAAAATGGCACCCCAGCCCATATACCTCTTAAATTCGCTCATAGTTTTTCCTCTGATTTTCTTTATAGTTTTTAGGTTTTATGGTTAGGCCCTTGATTCTTCTTTAGATTTTGTTTCAATTTCCTTTAAATAGATAGCCATCACCTTTTGTTAAAGAGGCTATTTTCCCCTAATTAACAGGTTTCTTCTCCTTGTCAAAGATGAGTTGTTCATAGCTGCATGGATTTACTTCTAAGTCATCAACTCTACTTGATTGGTCTATGCATCTATTTGTATCAAACTGTTAGCCCTTTTCTTCCTTAGTAGAGTTTTACTTATTCTGGGTCTCTTTTCTCTCCGTATGAAGTTGTTGATTCCTTTTTCCATCTTTTTCAAAAGTTATGATGAGTTCGGAATTGAGATTGTATTACAGTTGTAGATTGCTTTGAGTAATTGTAATTTTCACAATGCACTATCTATAAGAATGCTATATTCTTCCATTTTTGTAGTTCGGTTTCTTTGTATAGGTCTTTTGTCTTTCCGGTTATGTTTACTCCTAGTTAGATGTATCATGTCTTTTGTGTGGATAAGTAAGGAAGCTCTCATGACTGACTGGGTAAGAAATTACACTGCCAATGCAAAGGCAGTGATTTAAATCCACTCAGCAGGAAAAGGCCTGGCAATCTTCCTACGCAGTTTACAGTCCCTGAAAACCCATCATAGGGACAGCAAGGAGTTGGCCCAGACTTGACAGCAATAAGTTTGAGAGATTTTTAAAAATTATTATTATAAATGAGATCGCTTTATTATTTCATTTTCCGTGTTCTCTTTGTTACTTTAGAGGAATCTGGATTTTCAGTATGTTGACCTTGCTACTTGATTGAATTGTTCAGATATTTCCGAGAATTTTCTTGAATTTTTGGGATTTCTACATGGATTTCACCTGATGGTATGCATAGGCATCAGATCGATTACATGTGCGGAAAAAACCACTGGAGAAGCTCAATATCAGCTGTGAAAACTAGGCCAGGAGCTGATTGTGGAACGGACCACCAACTACTCATATGCAAGTTCAAGCTGAAACTGAGGAAAATGAAACCAAATGCACAGGAGTCAAAATATGACTTTGATTTCATCCCACCGGAATTTCAGAATCATCTCAGGAACAGGTTTGAGGCCTTGAACACTAATGAGTGAAGACCAGATGAGTTGTACCATCCAGGAAGAGTGCAAAAGGTCATTATAAAGACAGAAGAGGAAGAAAAGACCAAAATGGATGTCAGAAGAAACTCTGAAGATTGCGCTGGAGCGTAGAAAAGCCAAAGCACAAGACAGAATTCAAGATATTAAAGAGCTGAACAGAAGATTCCAAAAGGCAGCTCGGAATGACGAAGCAAAATATTACAATGAAATGTGCGAGGAGCTGGAGTCGGAAAGTCAAAAGGGCCAAACTCGTTCAGCATTTCTTAAGCTCAAGGAACTGAAGAACAAATTCAAACCTAGAGTTGCTATAATCAAAGATGCTTTAGATAGAATATTAAATGATCCAGGAAGTATTAAAAGAAGATGGGTATGATATCCAAGAGTAAACGTCTAATAGCTGTGTGTGCCTCCAAAGTTAGACAAGACCCTGGGGCTAGAAATAAAAATTAGAATAATCAATATATAGAAGGAATTTATAGCCAAGAGGTTACCAGGAGTTAAGTGAAGCCAGAGATGAGAGGAGACAGAAAAGCCCGAAGTACAACTTATATTTAATCAGAGGGACTCCCAGGTTGTTGCTGAGCATATGTAACTTCTTAGCTCCTCTGATGAAACTAGGTGGCTTATGTCTTGGTCTTTTGGGCTCTGACTCTGGTTGGGAACTGAAACCCTTAATTATCCTGATGGGCATAATTGGTGACCTAGAAAATCCCAAATCTCCTTTGCTCTGCTTTGTAAGAGGCAATGTTGGTCAGTGGTTCTGTAACCTGTGTGTTCGTGCCAGGACTCAGGGTAGGAGTGACCAGCTGGCGAGTCTCTAATCCAGCTTCCTTGTCTGTCTGTGTTGTACGTAGAACTTCTACAAACGATTCATTTTGAATGAACCCATGGCTTAAAACAAAGATCACAAAAAAAAAAAAGAAGATGGAAGGAATATACTGAGTCATTGTATCAAAAGGACACAGAAGAATTTAATGAAATAACATAGGAGCAAGAGCCTATGGTGATGAAGGAAGAAGTTCAAGCC